AAACAAGAGGAACCATTATGTTGCATAAACCTGTGCAGGCGTTTACAGAACCATGCAACCCATGACTAGGGTATCAGTAGGGTGTCAAATAAAGTGCCAAAAAGGCATTGATGCCTCAAAACACTGTGGAAAATTGCTGCTGTGGAAATTAACCTTATAAGCATTAAAAATGAGACAGGGCATCTGCAAAATGCATCAGGGTGCACCAGTAAACGTGAGAAAAATATACAAACGAGAGCATGGAGCTTGTGTTATTACAGTCCGCGCCGCAGCAGCCAGAATTAGGCGAGAAAGAGCATAAGCTCCTTCTTCTGGATGTGGGATTCCTCCACTTATTAACTAGGTGGAAGAGGAAATGGGGAAGTGTCAATTCATTAATATCGAACTGTCAAAGGGAACTGTGTGTCACTTGGAAGGTTTGCATCCTTTGCAACTCATGGGAAGTTTCTTGTTTTGCTGCCGATGCATCAGGGGTAGTGGACGGTGAGATCCGATCAGGTTCCAACCTGTCCCTCCTATCAGTATTCATATCCCTGCGCTCGTGCTGGGAAAACAACACATAGAGCTGAGGGGAAAGGGGACTTGTATTCACTAGAACACCACAAGACCTTTGGCTCACTGATTGAATTGAGTAAAAAAGGTCTGACAGTGACCCCCTTCCTTCTCTCTTGTTTCCACATCTCTGTCTCTCCACCACGGTGGCGCTGCGATCCAAGTGAGGCAGGAGCCACACAGGGTGCAAACCGCTGTGGTGTGGGCAATTTGCAGGGCAGAGCTTAATTACATGGAGAATGAAGAATTAAATGTTCCTGTTCATGCCTTGAACAGTTACTAAACCTATTGCTGCCTTGCGTTATTAATTTCTATGAGCATTTTGGTTTAGATTTAATTCACGAGGCACTGTCTAAGGTTTTGCAATTTCATAATTCGAGAAATACTTCAGATTGTGAGGTGTGTAGGATATTTGTAAAGATTATCAAACCTTTTCATTTGGATATTGTAGGTGTGAAGAGGTGTGATTATTTGCAGCAAAATATCTCATTTTTCTGGGGACTTTTTTTACTCTGGTGAAATAATGAAGATACTGGATATAGTCCTTGCAATTAGAAGAGACACACACATAGGGTGAGACCAAAGTGTTTTCTTAAAAGGCTGCCAGACCAACCAAAGGTTAAAGGAAGTGAATGTCTTTGGTCGTGAATGGAGGAGATGAAGAAAGTTTATGACTCGAGTAACCAGAATCCTTGATGGTATCAGCAGAGTCAACCAGTGCAGGAGCTTAAGGGTCAGCAGTGGAGGAGAATATGGGGTCACTAGAGGAAACTGAGACCGCGTTTAGCGCTGAGAAACTGGAGGTGCACATAACGAGAATGTCTGGAACAGGCAACCCAGACAGATTGCTGCAGCTGGCGTTTTGGCATACTTCAGAAAACATCTAGGTTTTTAGCTTTCTACAGTCGTATTAACCTCTGTCATCGATTGAGTCTTTCTTTCATTTGGAACCATTCCCACGTTCTTTTGAAAACTGGGACACCCATTCCTTCCACGCCGACAGCAGGGAAGGAGGCAGATAAGGGGATCACCTGCCCGCTGGCACAGTTCCGCATTGCTGCATTCTTCCCCCAGCACCAGAGACATGCAGGTCCCAGCAGCTGAGCTTGTTTTTCCAGTTAACAGCGGTGTTAAACAATGGGTTTGTGAAGATGTTGCTTTTTAAGAAGGCAGAGAAGGAGACTCTGCAAGTCTATTTTTTGTTTTTTTGGTCTACTTGCTAAAGCCACAGGCTAGCTTCAACCACTGGTTCAGGAGTGTTTTTGATTGTGCATGAGGGGAATTGCTTGTAGGATCTGATTGTCTAGACATTAACTGGCAAACAGCTGAACTTGTGGTAGGATCAGCCTCATCTGACTGGTGAACTGAAGTTGAACTCCTGCTGCATAATCCAGTTGCTCAGCTCTTTCTTTTTTCATGATGCTGCTTTGAAAGTGAAAGGCAAGGGTAATACGAACATATATTTTTTTAAAAGGGTTCAAAAGAACCAAGACAATGATTGTTTTTTTTTTTCAAGCTCAAAGCAGCCTTTGAGGTGCTGGTTTCCTTCCGGCTCCCAGTGTTTGTCTCGTTTCCTGTTTGCAAGGGAGAGTCAGCCCCCTAGGGAATGCTGGGAGACCCTGGAATACAGTAACTGCCAAGACAGTGCTTTTGGAATGTGCATACATATATATCAATATATATCAGGGAAGGGGGGAACTGCAGAGCTCAAATTCCTACAGGCTTTTTAGGTATATTTTAATTAGCAACTGATTAATACCTAAAACAGGCAATTAGACTTTTATTCGAGTCATCACTTCCATTAATTAAGATCAGAAGTAAAAGAAAAGCAGAAGACTCTCTAGAGCTCTCTACGCATCACTAATGTGTGTATTGATACATACACAGGATTAATCCATTCCGCTTTCAGATGCTCCTTGCATGAGTAGATGCATGCTTAGGTTAAACTAAATTTAGGCTAATCTGTTGTTGCCTATTATTTACTCAGTTTCTTTATCCTGTGCAGCTTATAGGATTTATTTGGAACCCAATGCATTGTGTTAAATCAATTATATTGGCACAGTATTGGCATCAAGAGCAGTGCTGTTAGTTGTGCCTGGATGCTGACAAGTGCTCAATGTGGACTTGGAGAACGCTTGGAGCCGGGCCAGCGAGTAGGGACAGCAGTGCTTGGGGATGATGGATGGAGAATGACACATCCAGCCAGCAGGGATGTGCTGAATTTGCACTGCTAGGCTGGGTGATTATCTTCCCAAGGTCCAGGGTTTAGCCATCAATGTCGCAACCCAAACCTCCTCCTCCCCTCCCTCCCTCCCCCTACGCCAATTCTGTTCAGCACATCATGCTGCAAGGGACACATCTCCCTGACACAGAGGGCAATGGTGCGGTGCCCGTGAGCATGAGGGGAGAGGGAGTGTCTGGCACAGCAGTCAGCAGGTCAGGGAAAGAGAGCCACAGGTGCAGTACGAACAGCTGGTTATCGGTGGTCCGTGTCCCTTAAACATGACAGCGTGAAGTGTCAGTGGTGTACCTCTGTGAACTGAAGTAACACAGTCTGAAGACCACAGCCCTTTCCCATGAACAGGTCATCTGATCGTTTGTCCAGTTCCATGGTAATGCAGTGTTTGGTAATAATGGGGATGTACTTTGCCTGTTCCTCTCTTCCTTTCCTTTCTGCTAATGGTGGCAGTTGGTAGCCCCTCAGTGCGCATGTCCATTTTATAATTGCTGTTTGCTTGTTTTCTGGAAGATTTCCAGGAAACATGAAGTGTTGGATGAGGCTTCAAAAAACGAGCAGGTTCGTTAGTACATTGGCACAGTACAGCAGGGTAAAATATACTTTTTTTAAAACTTGGACATGAGGGGATTCAAATTATTCTCTTAGGGTTGTTTCAGATGGCCGGTGGCTTAATTATAAAAGGTTCTTAAAACCAGTTAAGCATAAAAAAACCAAAAGCAGCAATGTAATTGGATCTTGCTTTTATGCTTCAGGCATTTTAAGAATATAAGTTTGTTGCCGAAGCGAGGGGTTGTTGTAGCGTGTTTTTCCTTGAGCATTATTGAGACCCCAGGGAATCGGCCGGCTCAGGCAGTGTGAGCATTGGCCTCCGCACAGCCCTCGCTGTGAAGACAGAAGCTGCTGCTTCTAGCTTCCTGAACCCTCTGCTTGCACTTGGTTTCCATCTGCACATGTCCTTAAGTCCTGTGCTGAGAGGGCCGTGGTTGATGTCATGTCTGTTTCAGGTGGCCTTCAATGTCTATCAAACATTCTATCTGCTAAATCTTCTTCATTGTACTCCTGCGTTTTATGTGTAAAATATGAAGATGTTAACAGGTGTCTAAACTGGGGTGACTGACATTTTATGTGTTCCCTACAGCTTCCTTTTCTAATCTTTCATTGTGTGCGAGTTTGTGCCTTAAATAATAGGGGGCGAAAACAACAGAGGACTTGTGAGCGGAACTCGGTCGCCGCATGTTGCTTTATTGACAGCGCTGTGCTGTGCAGGAGTGGGGTTTCTTGGTGCTGGTGTTTGTTGGGAAGGCTCCAGCACTCGGGCTAACAGGATGACCTCTGCAGCCCCGGGACTCTGCTCTGATTGGATAAGGGCTTGGCTGCTTTGTTCGAACATTCGCTCTCCATTGGTTGGGCTCTCAAGGAGTGTGTGTGTGTCTGGAGCTCAAGAACACGTTTTATCTGCCCATGACTTTGGAGGTGGCAGAGGAAAGTAAGTGTCAGTAACCATTCTGCTTTTAATAATTGAATTAGCGAAACCTGGAACTGACTTTAACATTCTGACAACCAAGACTATTCAGCTGCTATACAAGATGAGTTTTGTACATATTTTGTACATGTGATTTTTTTTTAACTTTAATTACCACTTAGGTAAGAGACAGTACTTTATGATATGAGATTCCCAGAGGGGTACATGTATTTTAAAGAATGCGTCCGACATGAAATATTTTTCACAGTATCCACCTTGTGGAATGAGTCTTTCATGTGCTGCTGGAGATCTGGCATTTGTAAGTCTCTGGCTATGAGCACTTCAAATTCATTGTTACCTTCATGCTCCGACTGAGCCGTATGAAAGTGGATGCCTCCAGCCAAGCAGCAGCACTGTGATTTTCCCCAAACGTTTGTGCACCTGTGGTCTTCTGCATCAACCTCGTGAGAGAGGGTTTTGTGCCTGGTGTTGTGTTACAGGCACACTATCGCGGTCAAGGCTGCCCGCTGTAGTTTGACCTGTCCGGACCGTGTGTCCCCTTAACAAACCCATCCAGGACCATCCCAGCTCTCACAGTGACATGCATGGTCTGTGAGTAACCTGTAACCTGTGTAGCAGCTCGCACAGTGTTTGCACCTCATAGGAAAATGCACTCAATTCACACTGCTGCTGCTGGTGACAAAAGACAAAATCGGTCAATTCCATTTCTTTGCCAGTGGTGAAGAGACCTGCTGTGCAACCTGAGCCCTGTTGAATGACAGGGACCCGTAGATCATGGGGTGCCTTAACAATGCAGCTTGAGGTTCCCTGTGCTCAAGGGAACCTGTGATAACCGAGAAGCGTGCTTATCTGAGACACGCATCGGCAAAGCCAGGCTTCTTGGATGTGCTGGCCTGTGTATTGATGGCTAAATATTCTCCAAGTCCTGGTCAGTGGGCTTCCACTGTCAGCTCTGATCTTTTCTTTTTTTAATTTCAACCCCTTATTACATCTGGAGAATGAGAACCGTAGACAGACAGTGTAAGAACATGACTGCTTGTCCAGGTGATGGGAGAGCAGTGGAGACTTTCAGAATATTGGCAGGTGCTACATTACTATCCCTTTGTTTAGGAGCAGTTTTTAGCTGAGGGATCGGCTTACTTTCACTCAAAAGCAGTGCAACAGCACAGGCACGGTAGTTGGAAGATGGCGCTGTGAAGTAACCTGCTGCTTGAATCCAGTGCCTGGGAGCCTGGGCGAGGGGGTGTCCACTGTGGCCCTGAGGCGTGTCCGGCTGCAGAGCTGGACACAGGAGCAGGGCAGTCGGTGAGCGAACCGGCTCGGTATGTCACAGCTGGGTTTGTGCAATCACAGCCCCATGGCACCGGGACTGGCAATCCCTGAAACTCGCACACTCTCATCCTCCTTGTACTTGTAACTCCAAATTCCCTTCAAATTAAACTCCACACGCGGCGAAAATAGGGGGTATCCTCTTTTTTAAAAGAGCCGAAAAACGAACCTCCCGCGCGATGTACCTTATGTATTTTTCGAATCGCTGCTTAAGGCGTTGTGCTTCAGTGTGTTGTTTAATTATAACCAGGAACTGACACCCACGCTTTACAGTAGGTTAAAAAAAATGAGAGGCGTTGAGTACACCTAGGATCGAGTCGCAACACATCATGGTCCTGGGAAACAATAACGTGTTACCTCATCTCCTGGGAAAAACATAAATTCACAGCTTCAGATTCCGCCCCGCGGTGCTGTGATGTGGGGCTTGTAGCTTTAACTGGGAGCCGGGGAGTCGCCGGGGGGGCGTGGCTTCCGCTCCCCGTGCCCGGTTTCCCGGTGACGTCACGATACTGGGCCGTATGGGTGAAACTGCAGGAATGCGCGAGGTCTGTTTCCCATTCTCCAGGCTGGCGCACGTTTCCCCCTCCTCCGAGAGGAAACGGACTGGGGGAGTTGATCGCTTTTTTTTTTTTAATTGCGATTAGCCGTTTTGATGACACTTGACAGAGGGTAGCGGTAGGGGAATACACCGGGTCGCTGGGATAAACGACTTCCTACTTTGTTTTTGTGGACTTTTATTTTGGTTCCCATTGGATGCACGAGGCTCGGGGATGGTGCGGGTGTCTCGGGGGGATCCCGAAAGGAGATCGAGTGGATCGTGAGCACTGAGGTGGCAGCAGAACCCGTCAGCGAGACCGTGTCGGGATTCCTGCTGGCCCCGGTCGCTCGGCGCGATGGCCGTGCAGCGTCTCTGAGCTCCGCTCTGCGCCGGAGTTACTCTTGGATCAGCTGTTGCTGGACCTGGAGCGCAAGCAGGAGAGGAGCTGCTCCTCAGGCTGTCCCCAGATGAGCGGGCGCTGTGCTCGGTGTACGTGATTTTTTCCGGATCGCTTTTCCCCACCCTCGAAGTTCGCAGTCCAAAACTTTAACATCTGGATGGCTTTTTTTCCTCTTCTTTTATGAGAGCCAGCAGCCTACTCCCTGTTTTATTTTTTTTTGGGGGGGGTGGCGGCTCTGCTTCTTCCCTGAGCTGGTGTTTGTGACTGTGGTTTTTCGGAGAGCTGTAATTTCCCCGTCGCCAGCGCAGGAGCGCGCTGCCAGCTGTGAGAGCCGGTCGAGCCCTCGCCGGACAGTCAACAACACGCTGGGCGGACGCTCTTCTGGAAGCCGTGAGTTGTCAGCCCCCCTGATGGGTGGGGGTGTGTGTGTGTTCAGTGTTTCACTCGGAGCTGGGGCAGGCGGTTGCCGTCTAGATGCCAGAGTAGCTTGAACGCCTCCTGATGGTAGTTGGCTTTTATGAACTGTAGCGCGCAGTGGGTTTCTCGGGCCTGCAGTGTTGGATCGGATCGTCGCTTCACGCGTTCCGTCTGTGACCGCGAGACAGGTGACAAGCTCTCGGATTTTCAAGCGTCTTTTGTCGTGCGCTCCTGCTCCGCGGTGCTTCCGGGTTTAGGGTGGAGGTGGGCGTGCGGTTTCACTCATCGTTACATTTTACTCCGCAGGTGAAGTCAGTCGTCTTGACGTTCTGCTTTCTCGTTTTTATTTTTTCTTCACTTTTCTCGACTATTTCTTGTGAATGCGGGGGCTTTATGTCGCCGCCCCAGTCTGGGGATGACCCAGTAACATCAGGAGCTTACCCAGTGGCTGTGGCTTACCCAGTGGCTGTCGGCAGGGCCGTTTCAGTAGGTTCCCAGCTGTAATGTTATCAGTGAGTGGATTGGAGCTGTGGGCTCTAACAGTTGGTTTGGTCTCTGTCTGCGCTGCACTTTGCTGGCCAGAAAGCATTGATTGTGTGTTCTTAAGCGCTAAACCTTGCTTGTGCTTCATTAGGCTCAGACAGATCTGTAAATTAGAGCACAGCCAGAAAAAGACAGCCTCGGGGACGCTGGGCTGTTTCTAAACTAGCTTTCTGGGGGTCACAGAATCCAGCAGCTTTTTTGTTGAACCCAGGTTTTAAACATTCTTCTTCAAATTAATCCAATTAAGGTTTATCCCTCCTCCTCAGGCTCGGTCCCCAGGTGTTTCCTGATTCTTGCAGTCAGTACAGCTTCAGCAGAGCAGCCCTCGGACCCCGTTCTCACCTGCTGCGCTGGGTCTTTGTCAAACACTGTGAATTCACCCATAACAGCTGCTGACCCGTGCCTCGGCCTTCTCCCTGCTGTCAAGCTGATGGTTCCTGACCTTTCATTTCTAAAGGCGGAGCAAGTGGGCTGGTGGTTTTTAGTGAGCTGGCAAGTGCATGTGTAGTGAACTGATGGGTTAACAATACGGAGGGGAGAATATAATAGATTTCAGCAGCAAGGAAATTAATAAAAAAGCTACAAGGTAGCACAGCTGTTTTCAATTAAGGCAAATAGTTTAAAATGCTTCCATGGCATTTAACAGTGTAACGTGGGCGCCTGGTAATCTCTGTGTGCATGAAATGCCTTGATTATCTGAAGCAAGGCTCACCCAGAAATAACACCTCTTCAGCTTTCCCAGGCCAGGCTGCTGTCTTCTGCCCGACTTGATTTTAGCATGTCCAGCTGCTGTTGCAGTCACTGCATCATAACATGTCTGCTGCCACGGATACGATCCACTGGCTGCCGTTCTGTGTGATGTTTCTGCCCCCTGCGTGTTGCACTGCTGCAGCACTGGACTTGGGAGAACAACTGAAACAATAACGCGACCAGTTTAGAGTGGCAGAATTCTTAAACTGCCTTCAAATTAATTAATTGCTTACACTTATATAGCGCTTTTCTGGACACTCCACTCAAAGCGCTTTACAGGTAATGGGGACCCCCCCCAACAACAACAAAGGACAACACCCACCTGGATGATGCGACGGCAGCCATAGTGCGCCAGAACGCTCACCACACATCAGCTATCAGTGGGGAGGAGAGCAGAGTAATGTAGCCAATTCATAGAGGGGGATTATTAGGAGGCCATGATTAGTAAGGGCCAATTGGAAATTTTGGCCAGGACACCGGGGTTACACCCCTACTCTTTTCGAGAAGCACCCTGGGATTTTTAATGACCACAGAGAGTCAGGACCTCGGTTTTACATCTCATCCGAAGGACGGCGCCTGTTTTACAGTATAGTGTCCCCGTCACTATACTGGGGCATTAGGACCCACATGGACCGCAGGGTGAGCGCCCCCCGCTGGCCCCACTAACACCTCTTCCAGCAGCAACCTTAGTTTTTCCCAGGAGGTCTCCCATCCAGGTACTGACCAGGCTCACACCTGCTTAGCTTCAGTGGGTTGCCAGTTGTGAGTTGCAGGGTGATATGGCTGCTGATCTTGTTTGGTTGAGGTCGGCGTGCCAAACAGACCAGATGAAGAAGTAAACATCGCAGGTTAAAGTTTTTTTTATGTCAAGTAGAACATTTATTGGGTCACAAGTCTCTCTTCTGTGACTGCTTTTTTCCAGCTACAGGGTGTAGTGTGTTCTCTCAAAGCCTCTGGGATTGCGTTCAGGGACGACACCATGAGGACCTCTGAACACTGGCTTTCAGCCCCTTAGGGACTGGTCCAGTTCCAGTTCTTTTGAGCTCTCCTGGGAGGTTAATAGCAAGATGGCTGTGGCCTTTCACACTGTCTGCTTCTTTCGCTCTGCGGAAGAAGGTCTTTAAACTTGGGAAGACACTTCCAAGCAGGGGGATTGCCGGCTGGGAAACCATGTCCTGTACCCGCTAGCCCCCTTTCTGCTCTCCCAGCTCCTGACGGGACGGGTGCTTTCTTCGTAACTGGGAGCGCAGGGAGTTTTGTGCCTCCTGCTTTCCCCCCAGAGCTCTGCGGCCAGCTCGTGTGTCCTCTTCCTTCCCCGGCAGCGCAGTCCATACAGTAATGCCTTTCTTACTGTTCAGCAGTGCATAATAGTATGCTAATGATGTGTCTCACAGAACAAGGAAATATCAGTCATGCCGTGGTCGGGCACAGTGCGTGGGGTGTCATTCATTTTATTTAGAGTGTTCCGTAATCCACCCTCTGAGGTAAGAATGCTTTTTTTTTTAAAAAAAAGAGAATGGTGTCACTGGGAAGGAGTTACACTCGATGACTACTTGTGAGAGGATAAAGAAGCTATTCAGAAAGCAGATGTTAAAAGCTTTTTACTATGCAATGCAATTAAAGACCAGCACATTAGAGTGTGCCCTCTTCTGATTTGAAGGGGCGGTACACGAAGAGCCTTTGTCTGATGTTTGTAGTAGAGGCCGATAGTTTCAGCTACTTTGAATGAGATTGAACACAGACACATTCCAGATTGCTTTTATATTTGCTGAGCTTAGCTTTTTTTTTAAAAATAATCACTCCTCCCACACGCACAAAACAAACAAATAAACCCTGAGTTTTTCACTTTTCCCGAATTGCTTTTACACCAAGAGTATCAAGACCTGTGGCCTGACAGGCCTGATATCTGCATCAGAGTTCAGAATTCCATCCTTCCTGTTGAAGATGTTTGCAGCTCCCTGTTGTGCTTGGTGTTGGGGGGTTCTGTCTCTGTTTGAAGGATGCTGTCATTTCAATATGGCAGGACTGTGTTGGGATGAAGATCTCAGACAAGGGGATGTGGCTGTGTGATGATCAGCCAGCTGACGGGCAGCAGGCAGCTGAGTGTTTTTGTTAGTGAAAAGCTGTAATCAGGCACCTGCCATACACTCTCACCTGTAGCTCCCAGCCCTCCTGACAAATGACTGTAATCTTCTTCTGGCCCCAGGCCTGCAGAGAACCTGCCCCGACCGCCGAGCTGTCAGCCTGGAGACCCAGAGGGCTGTGCACCTGTTCACACCTGTGAGCGCACAGGTGTCCTTCTCTGCCTGATGCTCTGCAGATACCTTGAACACCTGAACACTACTAAATCGTTCCTGTGGTGTTTGGTGGGCATCCTTGCCTGGAGAGAGCTACAAGGGCACCAGTTGCATAATTTCATCCATTCCTTCTTTTTACTGTTAATTCCCTCAAAGTTTCTGTTAAACTCTTACCTTTTGGTATTTGCCGTCCTCTTTAAACTGATGGCTGATGATTGTGAGGCTGTTGAGCTGTGGGCAGCTTGAAAGCAGCAACTTCACATACTTTAATTTGATGTTTTGGGGATTATTTTTTTCCTAGGCTTTCCAAGGGCTTGGATCCATGCAATTAAAGTGGGGGAGAACCACTCGTAAAGAAAGTGATTATCAGATGGAATCTGATGGAACGCCTGTATTTTGGGATTGTATTTGCTTTGCATGAGAAAAGATCCATCGTAAAGGAGGCAGTTTGTTTTCTACAGGTGGAATACTCCATTACTTATGAACACTTAACCACATATCCAGCAGGCTTTTATTTGCTATAGCGCTGTTTGCAACAAAACCTTTTTTGAAGTGTACTGCAGTTGACAGTATTGTGCAGAAATGGCTGATAGTGTGGACACAGAGAAGAGGAAAGCAAAAGTTCCCAGGGGTGGAAACAATCCTCTGGGCTCCCCCAGGTTCTGTGGTTGTCTTTCCTCCAGGCAGTGGATTCATGGAGCAATAATTACAATAACTCCCGGACAGTCCAGGATCTGTTCCCTGCTTCCCTGAGCCTGTCGTCATGGTTATCCGAGTGCAGTAGTTGAAGTTTCCTGGGTTTGCCCTCTTGGGTCCAGCGTTCCAGCTTCGGGTGTCATGCACTGCCCAGGTCCCAGCACACGGATCCTGAAACGGACGTAACTGATCGGAAGGCCACAGTTTCAGGCGTGTCCTTTTCTGTTTGTGTTCGGCAGAAACACGTCTGCTAAAAACCCCAGTCATTTGTCACAGTTACATTATCGGAGGAGTTTCGGATTAGCTGAAACGATACAGAAAATTCAGCATGTTCCAGTTGGGAGTATTGTTCACCCACTGTGTTATTTCTTCAGCATGTACTGCATGATGACAGGGAACAGATTCCTGCCAGGACGGATCCTGTGTGTTTTTTCCCCCACAGTATTAGAAGTGACTTTGTAGGGTCTGTTGTTGTCAGGAAGCGTTGCTCCCTCAGTGACCCAGATCGTGTTTGCTTTTACATTAGAGTGCCAGTAAGATTAGAAAGACTGAGCAAGCATGGTGTGTGTTTGCCTGTGTTTTAATGAAATTGGTTCGAGGAAGTGTAACAAAAAAAGCATCGAAGAGTTTGTGTCCTTAAGGGACTGAAGCCCAGGAACGGGCGATGTCTTTCTTTTAAAACATCCAAACCACAACTTGTCTGTAGTTAGGCCCACATTTCCTTTCAAGAGGAGTAAAATTAATCGGTGGCTCTAATTTTGTGAAGTCAGCATTTTCCCCATTTCATCCCTATGAGTGGTTTTCAGCGTTTTGTTTGTCATCTCTGACCGCGACGTGCTGATGTGTCACGGCTCAGTTCTGGTGAGCCTGCAGACCGGGCCTCAGAGGCCACAATCTCACGATTGCCAGTGACGTGGCGCGGGGTTTGGTAGCGCACACACTGCCCCCATCCTGGCTCCAGCTCTGCGCGGGGATTTTGTGTTGCGGAGGAGGGAAACAGCAGAGCTTTACTCATTGTCATTCCCGGTGAGGATCCTGAGGACGAGCTGCTCCTTTGCGTTCATTCGAAGTACCAGATGATTTTTGATTTTGTCCAGAGCCGTGCTTGTGTCGAGCCGTTTTAAAACGCTAAGGGGGTTGAGCCCCAGGGCCAGTTGTCACGGCTTCACTCTGAAACGGACTTTTGTTCCACCCAAATCGTCACCAGCCCAGTCGTTCCGATGGAAATGCCTGGATCATAATGAGAATTAATGTTCTGGCTGAAAGCCCGAAAGAAATTTAGCGCTTGAGGTGAAGACCATCTTTTATTCAATCACCTTTCACAGGCCTTGATCCTGAGAGTAAGTAACACCTGAGGGGTGTTTTGAATTGTGGTGTTGATCCAAGATTTAGGTTATTTGGTTATTTGCTGTGAATTCTCCACTTCTCCACTGAGGCTGTGCTGTGGGGGGTGAAGGTTGGGACTGTGACTTTATGGGTCTCAGATGATAAGATCACTTTATTGGCCATATACAATTTCTTGCATTAGGAATTTGCCTTTTCATGTACCCCAGCTTGCTCTCCATGAGACACACAGTGCCACTGCTCCGCCCGTTACATCTGCCTATAGAATTAGCAAAGATGTTACATCACCCCCTTGGCTAATTCTATAGGCAGGTCAAACCAGCAGTGCTGCAATGTACTGGTGGTGCAGTAGATCTTATTATTAATGGAACACATAGTAGTTCGAGTAGGGAGCTGTGTCAGCATGCATAGGCTGCAAAGGAAAAAGTAAATGTTTATTCCTGCTGAAAAGAGAAGAAAAACACGTTTCGGCTGTGGAGCTTCTTCACACCCGACAAAGGCTCCAATTGAACATGTTCAATTGGAGCCCTCCAAATCAGAATCGGCTGGTTTTCCACATCTTTGAACAGACTGGTGATATCTGTGGTGAGGAATTCACAAGGGCACAGTCGGCAGTGTGTATCTGAGGGCTGTGTTTGGGTTAAGGGAGTGTCCTGCCTGATACCCGCATGGCAAAAACAAAAAGGAAAATCAACATTAACTGCTTCCATTCTGAAAGTGCTTTGGAAGCAGAAAGGCTGTTGTTTCTAAACCTCTAACATTAGTAAAACCCATGGTGCTAAAATGAAACACTGACTTAATAGTAGGATTAAACTTATCCCATCCAGCCAGTGTTTGCTGATATCCTTCAGTACAGTTTCCAGCTGGCTGAAGTTTCTGTAATATCCTGAAATACAATGTGGTGTTCAGCAAAAACATACCACAATGTGGGTTACTATTAAGTAAGATTATTTGTTTGCTGGTAAATACATTTCCTTCTTTTTTTTCCTCCATCTTTCGGATTATCGTGGATTTGCTGAATACAAATAGTTCTTGTCCCTCCAGCAGCCCGAGATCCAGAGTGCTCTTTCTCTTGAGAAGACCGAGTTCTCCGAAGAAAGAAAAAGGGGCTCCATTATGCAGTCCTTCCCACAGGTTCACAGTGTCATTCCGGGCTCCTGGAACGTATACAAGCTGGCACCTGGAGCAGGCTTTGTCGGGCTTGTACTTACTGTCTTCTATTAATGTATGTCAGCCTGCACAGACATGGAGCAAAATCGTTTGATGAACCTGTCTTTTTTGGGGGGGTTTATCCGGGGCAGTTTTCACTGGTGTACTCGGCACACAGGGAGCTGTCTGCACCGTGCCCATGCCCTCCCCACACCAGGATGTCAGTGACTGACGGGCGGAAGCTGTTGAGCTGTCAGTGTCAGGCACTTCTGAGAGCGCTTCAGGCCCGGTTGAGAAACAGGAAGTCATTAGGGCTGGAAATTGCTGCTTATTGCCTCTTGCCAGCCAATTGGACAGACTTACTGGCAAAAAGATTATTTCAAAAACAGCTTTTTCTTAATGATTCAAAAGGGCTGCTCTGTTACACTGTGTATTAATACACAGATCCATTTTGACACTAGGTGCAAACTTTTTAACTCAGAAATGTCATCTTAGAACCAACTCTTATTTATTTACTGTGACGACCTGCAGGCTCACTTATACAGCAGGCCGT